AACCGCGGCGTCCGCAATCCCAACCTCAACCAGAACCCCTTGATCAACGTGCGCGATCGCCTCTTCCACGCGCTCTTCTTCAAGATGGCAGTGACCTATGCTCGCCTCTTCCCACCCTCCTTCCGCCGCGTCTTCGAGTTCTTCGTCCTCCTCAAGGTGAGGGGCAGCTTTATGGGGAGGAGCGGGCACTCCTCTTGCTAGGCTGCAATTGGGCACTAAGGCATAAATTTCCTTATAGACGCAAAAAATCTTGGCCTTGCTACAGATCACAGCCTGTGTTTGGGCCAATGACCCCAAGCTGTCCACTGAGTTCCCGTGGGCCTCTCTTCTGTGAGACAGACATGAATAGTCGTAATGGTCTATGGTGGTCCCCACAGCACCAGAGCTCTGGTACCAGATCTGGAAATAAAAAGGAAATAACTGAGCCAGATGGATGGGCAGTCAGGCTGGTGTGGGTCAGGTTCAGGGATGTGGGCGTGAAAGATTTCTCTATCTGTTTCCAAGCAATCACTCGTTTTGGATACATTGCATATGTGAGATATTTGATTGTTGGAGTTTAGCTGGAGTCTTGTCTTTTCTGGAAACGATTAATGCACAACCCCGTTTTAACCCCATTTCTTTTTAGCAGTCAGCACCCTCCGCTGTGCCAGCACACCTCTACGTACCAGGGTAAAACTCCCCCAGCTTTCTTGTTGACTGGAAACCCCCAGAGGGGCCTGTCAGTGTCTGCGGGGTGAACTGCCTGTACGTTATGTCCTGCACTACGGCTTCCAGGGTGCACGCTGACACTTACCAGCATTAGTATGGGAAATTAGATAAGGAGAAGGGGGGAGAGGAGCTTGCCAGGTGACAACAGTGTGCTTCTGCTCCGAGTTTCTAAAATTCAGCCGCTTGAAGCAAGAAAACATTTGGGATATCTTGTCTCATACTGCACATATACATTTTCTCCCCTCCTGAGAAACGTTCAAGGTTTTAACATCTCTCTCTTTTTTTTCCCCATTGTATAACTGGATTCAGGCAGACAGGGAGACTGGAGCGGGGATTGTGTTAATGGTGAGGCTGTCAGGCAGAGCGAGCGGTCCAGCTGGTAGAGGTTCTTGCTGCTGTCCGCTTTTGATCAAAGTGCTCCCGAGGAAGTAAGAGTATTTACAAGGCATGTGTGAAGAACAGCCCACTCCCGCTCGCAGGGTCAGGAGTCAGCCAGACTCCAGCCTGGTCTCAGCTCTGTGCGCAGGGTCCTGGTAGGAGGTGAGGTCAGAGACTGGTGCTGCACGCTGCTGTTTGCAGATCCTGAAACTGCTTATGGTTCTGCCAGCTTCATGGCTCCTGCGATGAGGGAGGTGTTTCTGATTTACCTTCCCTAGCGTCTTCCTATGCAGCTCCTCTGCAGCTGTGATGTTTACCAGTCTGTTTATTCATAGCAAATAGGTCAGGAACGATATGTAGCAAGGACACCTAGTTTAATTAGGAATGAGCATCTAAATGCAGTTGGAAAGTGAGTGTATGAAATTCAGCTGTACCACTTACTGTACCAGCGTTTCTCGGAGCTTTCAGCTGTGAACTTTGGACAGCGCTGGGTAACATCGTGCTAGATTTACTGCCTTCGCTATAAGGAACAAATTTTATTAGTCCACTTTGTTTTGCTGTGACTTTATAGCTGTTCCTTGGAGTGAGCCAGGGCAAGGGATGGGTGACGCTCCACGAGCCCAGCCCCAGCAGGCCAGCTAGACCTCCGCTGTGGCAGAGTTTGTACCTGGCAGCAGCAAGTGGTAGATCTGAATGCGGAGCTGGCGGTTCTGCCGTGGGTTTGTGTCATCCTGCTCTTGTGGTGGGTTGTCTTCTGTTGAGGTTTCTGCCTTTGTAATGTAGGGCAGTCTTCTCCGGGCTTCATCAGAAACGCTTTGTGCTGAGGAGGGAATGGTTGAAAGCCACAGATGTGTTTCTGTTTCTTTCAATATGTTTTGGGGCCTCATCACATGTTGGTGCTGTGTTTGGTTGGTTTGCCTGCAGTGCAGTCATTTTGGGGCTGGTGTTGGTTTGCAGGACCTGACACGGCGCTGGGGCCTCTGTGTGTCACCTGTGCTTTCAGCAGTACACGTGTACTGCACAGGCATCGGTGGCAGCTCTGGTCTTGTGAACAGGAGGAGACTGGTCTTGCTGCTGTCTCTGCTGTGTTCCCCTGTTGATACGGTAGTGCTGAAATTGCCTGATTCTGGGCTGCTTTATTGTTGATGCTGAGACCACCTGTGTTGGAAAGCGTAAAAGCTGTTGTCCACTTGCACATGCATTTGCCCAAGTTAATCTGGTGTCCTTATGGGCAAAGAAGAGATGGTTAAAACTGGGGAGTCTGTAAACAGGCAAAAGTTGGTTGTGCTGATGGTCTCTGCTTTGTTTCTTGCTGTGTGCAGGCTCTCTTTGTGCTCTTCATCCTGGCTTACATTCACATCGCCTTCTCCCGCTCACCTATTAACTGCTTGGAGCATGTGCGAGACAAATGGCCACGCGATGGCATCTTGCGGGTGGAAATACAGCGCAACTCAAGCCGAGCCCCCATCTTCCTGCAATTCTGTGGCGTTGAGAAATTCCCAGGAATGGTAGTTGAATCCACAGCTGAGGAAGAGGAGGAGGAAGAGGAGGAAATGACTGTGGATATGTTTGAAAACAGCTCTATCAAGGTAAAGACACCTTGTGTTCCTTGTGTACACAGAAGGAGATGGGAACTGCGTTGTTGGTTTGGGGAGAAATGGTTTCTTAGTGCAGTCATCTTAAGGATGACACAGTCCTTCTGTGATCCCTCAGTCACCTGGAAACAGAGTGTGTTCCTTGGCTTCTGAATCTCCACGTTAGCCTCTGACGGTTTAAGATAGAAATTAGAGCCTGGGAAGGTGGCCCCTTTTGTCCTCCTTTTGGTGGTGGAGGCCTTTGCTGGGGGCACAGAGGGAGCCCAGAAGACGGGAGCTGAAGTGACTGCTAACGTGACTTTCCCTGCCACGGTTTTCCAACAGTTTGAGCTGGATATCGAGCCCAAGGTGTTCCTCAAGCCATCCCGGGTGAGCAGCACCGAGGCACTGACGCACAACGAAAGCCAGGAGTTCTCGTTTAGTGAAGCAGCCACTAAAGGTATGCAGCCTCTGAGGGAGACTGTGTCCGAGTTTGAGATGCTAGCCAGAGCAGGTAAAGACAACTTACGCTGCTATCTGTGCTCTCTCCTTCCCCTTCCCTGTGCATCTTCCCTGCACGCCTTCATCCCTTCTGGCTTCTCTGGGCACGTGCATAGTAACCTTAAATGTCTTCCCTGATGCGTTCACCTGCGGTTAATCTTGTCAATACTAACAACAGATCCACAGCAATACGGAGGGAGGCTGGGAGTCGGGGGTTGTCTGGGCTATGAAATTTGCTGAAGCCTCTTGGTCTGGCATCGTGTTTCTGCAGTGATCAGGCCAGAGATCTCAGATGAATGCGAGCCTCCCTCTTCTGAGCAGTTCGCTGTCCTCTTCAGATCTGCAGGGATACCACTGACAGCGCACATTCCTCCTCGTATTAACAGGGTTTGGGCTGTATTTTGGGTCCCTGAGTCAACACCAGCACTTGGAATAGCTAATTAATTCTGAAAGCCACCGAGCAAGTTTTATTGGATTGCGAGATACAGCATTGCTGTTCTGCATCGTTCAGGATATCATCCTGCTTTATTCCTCCCCTTGTTCCCGTACGACTTAAGCTGCTAATGTCTCATAAACTGTAGAGGGAGATTTAGTGGCTTTATATTATTTAAAATGGAATTCCAGTGTTGGAAAACTTCTGTTTCTAGTGGTTAGGGGAGGAAATATATTAAAAATATATATGTTAAAATAGAAATATGGCAATTGAATTCTTATTTAATTTGCCTTTTTCACCTACGCTTTTATCCCTGGAAAGACTGGAATTCTTTGCCCGTCAGAAGTACTGGCTGTTGTGGCTGTGGAGGATTGTGAGACTGGACGCTGCAGTAGCACTGTTCCCTTGGTCTTGCAGTGGTTTTGCTTGATGCTGATCCAGAGCTCATTAGTCCTGAATTTAAGATCATTAAGTCACGTAAGACTAGAGAGCAGTAAATGTTTTTGGTGCAATACCTTTATTAATAGTTGCCTGAGTTCTGTAAGAGAGTCACGTTGTACAGCGCTGTGTGCACTGATGGGCTGTGCCTGGATTTGCTGAACGCTGGGTTGGAAGTGATCCAGCAACGTGGTGGGAGAGAAAATTGTGCTGCTTCCCAGCATAGTTAAAAAATTCGTCTTTACAAATGGGTCCCAAATTCCTGTTTTTATCGTTTTTCCACGTTTCTTGTGCTATATAAGTACATTAAATTTTATGTTTAGACAGAATATTTACCATGGAAGAATGTTTTATGATACAAAGGAAGTAATTCTTTTGTTGCTGTTTAAACACGTCATTTCCATTTGATCTTAAAACTGTTTTATAATGGAAACAAAAGATGAAACAAACACACCAGTTTGTGTTTGCTGCCCAAAAAGTGGGATCAGAGGCGGGGAAGTAGAGTGGGCATTTCCGTCAGTGATGTGTCACTGTAAGTCAGAAGAGGCAGGTAGATTTCTTTTAAGTTGTTGTATCCTTTTAACTTTTTTTTGCTGTGGCGGTGTGAGATGCCTGACAGCTGCCTCCCCTCGCCTCTTGCAAGATACGCTGTGACAGTTTGAAAGATCGGGGATTAAATTGCTTGGCTCCGACTTAGCAGGAGGTTTTGTCCTTTCAGAGATGATGTAGCAAAAAGCATCTATTTTGAACCTTTCTTTAAAAATAAAAAATAAAAGTCAAAATCGAGGAATCTTCAGGCACCACATTTTTTTTTTGGAGAGCCATAATTGCTCCTGTCTAGTTTTGAGACTTGTAATTGCAGCAGTGACCTCTGTCTCCTGAGAAGTGCAGTGCTTTAGCCCTGTGGAGCGTTTACTTGGTGTTCAAAAAAAATCAGCAGGTGTAAAGCGTATTTTCCTGCTGTTCCCTAAACAACATAGAAAGCAGAAATTGAACAGCACAGGAACAAGTGGTCTAGGGCTCGCCAGGCAAAGATGTGGGCAGATTCTGGACAATGCTTGGCACAGCGTGGAACCGCTGCCCTGAAGCTTTCCCGGAAGTTTCATGTTAAGGACTAATGTCAAGGGAATGGGCTGCAATTTCAAAGAATTTGTGCTGATTTGTTTTAAATGGGTTGAAGGAAGCCTGGAGCCTGTGTTTGCAACTGCTTCTCTTTTCCAGAACGTGGTGGGAGGGAAGGAACCCAGAGGTGCTATTTCTTCTTGGTAACTGTTTGCAAACCCTGCTGCTGAGTCTCCCCTCCCACCCTCTCTTGCAGTGTGGCCGCAGGAAGAGTACATTGTGGAGTACTCGTTGGAGTACGGGTTTTTGCGCCTGTCCCAGAGCACTCGCCAGCGCCTCAGCATCCCGGTCATGGTGGTGACTTTGGGTGAGTGAGGGAGCCAGCCCGCTCTGGTGCAGGGGCGGGTGCGTGCTCTGCAGAGATACCTACGTGCAGTTTCCTCTTTCATCTTGTGGAAACTATTTATAACAGTTGATGGCGCTCATTTTCCACGTAGGAGAGCTTCTTTTTGGAGTCTTTATTGCTTTAGTAGGTCATACCTTTCCAAGAGGAGTAGTGTGAAATGGTGGAGCCTGTTTCAGTGAGCCCTACTGTTATGTCCAGCACAGTTTTCTCACTGAGGAAGGAAGAGTCTCTTGGTACTGAAGGTCTAAGCTCAGCGCGGAGCAGCAGCAGCGCAATGTTAAAGCCCAGTGGCAAAAGCAACTGTGCATGTGTCAGGGACCATACTGAGCAGATCTGTTTGGCACTGTCTCCACGTACTTCTGTGCCCCTGCGAGCACCAGCAGACTGTTTTCCTGGAACAGTGTTCTCTTCTCCTGGCGTTTGCGCCATTAAAACCTGTCTGAGTCAGGAATACAGACTCAAACCTTCTCATCCCTGTGAACTTAATTGATCTGTAACAAGCTGTTAGTGCAGCCATCAGACCAGATTTCATTACTTACTCCTAATCAAACTGAAGCACAGCTGGGCTGGAGTATTAAGCAGTTATCCCATATAGGTAATGGGCAGTTTCCATGTTAAATGTCTATTTACTGGCCTGGGTTTTCTAACTCAGCTAGACAATTCCTTTGTAAGCATCCTAGTAATTTACTGAAAAATTATTTGTGTTCATGCTTCCCATTTTACTTAGGTTTGGGCTATTTTTACAAGCCGATCAGTGTTTGTGAAATAGAATGCAGCCCCAGCTTCATGAGATGGAATTGAACAGCCTTCGTTAGTGCCCAGAGCCATGGGGAGGCGTTCACGCATCCTCCACTGAAAGGGTGGAGGGGGGATGGGGATGGTGGGCCCCAGCAGCGTCATGCTGAGGCCAGCTGATGGCCAGAATGTCTCGGCCTGGACCTCCAAGTCTTACCAGGACTTGTTTCTCTGGGCCATTGGTTGGGGTGAGCCCAGGGAGGTAGTCCAAGCCTAGAAGGCAGATTCCCTTTATGTCTGTGCCAACTGAGAGTATGACAGCGCTGATATAATTCTTAAGGCCAGATTGACATTAGCATTTTGACAGCATGGCTGGATTTGTCAGGGTGTGACATTTTCCCTCCCAGTCCTGCCCAATTTAGTTATACTGCCAAAGGTCTGAGCGCAGACGCAGGTCTGCTGGCAAATGTGCCCTTGCCTGTGTGCTTGCCTTGCTGCTTCCGTGGCTTAAGGTATGAACAATCTGAATGGTTTTTTTTGTCTTCTCTCTAGATCCTACCAGGGATCAGTGCTTTGGGGACAGGTTCAGTCGCCTGTTGCTGGACGAGTTCCTGGGTTATGATGACATCCTGATGTCAAGTGTCAAAGCTTTAGCTGAAAATGAAGAAAACAAAGGTAAGGCTTGGAGGAACCGCTTTCAGCACTTTTGCAGAGCAGTTGATGTTTTTCTGTGGATGCGTGAATATCATCTTCTGACTATTGATTAATCTCTATGCAGGGAACAGTTCCCTGTGTTATGTAGAGATGTTATTGTCAAGGGCAAAATGAAACAAGCAGGAGGGGAGAGGTGTCTGCAGACGTGATTTCCTACTGCCTTATGGCACTGCATAACAATAAGAGCGCTCCTGTGAGGAGCTGTTGCCCTAGATTTGCATTAAATCCTGTTCCTTTAGAAGGCAGTGGAAGTTTGTTCTTAGTTTAGGGGTTAATCACACTGAGCTTGTGTGTTTGTGTGTGTGTTTTTTCTCCAGGTTTCCTTCGCAATGTGGTGTCTGGGGAGCACTACCGCTTTGTCAGCATGTGGATGGCGAGGACTTCGTATCTGGCAGCCTTTGTCATCATGGTCATATTTGTAAGTTGACAGGAACTGGACGTTGCCTGGACTCTGAGCCCGGTGCTGGTCAGTGTACGTTTGATGTAACAGCACCGGCCTGAGCTCTCATCTGCTTTTAAAGCTAAGCTGATAGAGTTTGAGGTTCAACTCTCTGGTGTTTGTTTTGTTTTGTTTTTTTAATGTGGGTTCTTAAAGTCCTAACAGCGAAACAAACAGAGGAGCTGAAATGGAATTAAATGATGACTTTGTTGTCTAAAGGGACATTCTGATTCAAGAGTCTCTAAGTGTAGTTAAACACTCGGGCTGCCAAGGCACAGCGTGCAGAAGTCTGTCCTCTGAAACTTTTAAGAACAGGTCTAACTAATTTGCCAGGGGTGATCAAGATAGAACCAAGTCTCCTGTGATTGTGTGAGACAAGATGATTACAGATAAGTATTAGACAAGATCCCAAGTGATAACTAAGCCTGTGTTTATAGTCTTGGGTGACTGTCTCCCTTTGTGTCTGACCGTCCACTGACGCAGCTCCTCGTACAATAATATTGTGGCCAGTGAGAGAGAAGGAGATGAGTGCTGGGTGGCTGTTGTCAGAGAGGTGTTATGAACTGCTGGGAGGAGCACGGGTGTGGGATGGGAAGAAACCCTAGTTCCAGCTCTGCTGCTGCTGTTTGGTTTGGCCCCTGCTCAAATATTCAGAATCGGTCTCTTTACAAACAAATTACTTACTGTCTATTTCACTGCAGTAATACAAAGATTAATTGCTGTTTGTGAAGTCCTAATTACTCTTTGGGAAATCGGTCTGCGTAGCTCAAACTAACGAATGTGGGATATGCACAGCACGCTGTGCCGCATTGCAAGTCCAAGCTTGCAGGACTTTACAGGCCTCTGCCATAGTGTGATTCTGAAAGTAACTCCCTGGACCTGGGTGGCTCTAACGCTGGCTTCTGTTCTCGTATTTCAGACTCTGTCCGTTTCGATGCTGTTGCGCTACTCGCACCATCAGATCTTTGTCTTCATTGGTAAGGATTTTCTAAGGGATTTAGGGTGTACTGGACACTGTGCCTGCTCCAGCACAGTGTATCATGTATATACTCTTGACTGTCAATGTTTAGAAGCATCCTGCATGTAGCTGCGCAGGCAACATATCCCCCCGTCCCCCTACCCCCATGCTTGAGAGCACTGTTCTGTCTCTTGACAAGTTTCAGGGACAGTGGACTTCACCGCACGTTGCAGTGCTCTGCATGAGGAGTAATGTGGGGCTGGAGGGTTTTGTGGCGCCACATCTACTTTGTGTTATAGTGTGTTTTCCTTCTTGCAGTTGACCTGTTACAGATGCTGGAAATGAACATGACAATTGCATTCCCTGCAGCTCCCCTCCTCACTGTCATTCTGGCTCTAGTAGGTAAGGACATCAGCTCGCTTCTTGTGTATGTGCAGCGAGTCCCTTTGGGATCTGTAGAAAGTACAATTCCCTGTTCTGATGTGGCCATGGCAGGTGATCAGTGTGTCCGCTCATCAGAAGGTGGAAGGCTCTGGAATTTGATGGCACAGTGAGCTGCATTGTCCTTCTGGGTCCCCTGGAAAGCAGTTCATTTGGAAATCACATAAACTGAAGCTTTGTCTGTCACTGTAGTTCGTTTCAGATTCACACTTCTTATGACCACGTTGCATTAGCACAATTTGAATTTAAAAGACAACCAACAAAACCCCCGAAATCTGCACTGTCGAGAGCCAGCTGATGCTCTGGCCTGTGTAGTGACTGCAGTCAGCAGTGAAACATGTTTGGCCTTTGCTGCTGCTTTAAACAGAGCTAATTTATCCTGCGGTGGTCTTTGCTGTGCAGTCATACGGCCACAGCTGTGGACATGACAGAGGATTCCTTCGCGTGCCCCTTTGGGAAGCTCTGTGCCAAACTGGGGTCTGTGCCCTGCCGCGTGCTGACGTCAGACACCCTCTGTCCTGTAGGTATGGAGGCCATTATGTCAGAGTTCTTCAACGACACCACAACTGCGTTTTACATCATCCTTATTGTGTGGCTGGCTGACCAATACGATGCTATCTGTTGCCACACCAATACGAGCAAGAGGCATTGGCTCAGGTAAGAGCTGGCTGGGACCTCATTCCCGTATTGCGTGTTCTCGCTGCACGTCCCGTTCTCTGGTGGGAGGCTGCTTCGGATCCTTTCCGGCCCTCCCAGGCAGGAGAGCTTCCACTTGGGAGCTTCTGTATGTCTCCTTGGGAGCTGCCCTACATGTCACAGGGTCCACAGTGCAATTCCTTCCACTTTGGGTTTGTGCATGGATGTCAAGAATCACCTCGGTCCTTTCCCTGCCCTTTGTTTTTCTCTGTTGAAGACCTGTTCGTAGCAAGGTGGGTCTGATTACCTGGTAATGGGAGCCCACACCACCCTGTGCAAAGTGCCCCAGCTCAGAAGGAGTTAGGAGTAGAAAGAAACTCACATTTGTCCTGTCCATTGCCATATCCTGATATTTATTGCCTTTCTGTCCAGGTTCTTCTATCTGTACCACTTTGCCTTCTATGCTTACCACTATCGATTCAACGGGCAGTACAGCAGCCTGGCTCTCGTCACCTCGTGGCTCTTCATCCAGGTCAGTAGCTGCCAATTCTGCGGCACGTTCACGCAGCCAGCGGCGTGGACACGGGAGCCATCCTGTGAATCCAATCCTGGTCACCCCACACAACTCAGAGGGGTCTGGCTGCCTGCAGTTTGAACTGTTACACAGCTGGTTTTGACAGCACAGCCACTGGGAGCAAAGTGAAGGAAATCGGCTGCGTTTTGGGCTTTATCAAACTTCTTGTCAAGCTGAGTTTGAGTAGCAATCTTTATTTATATAAGAGAGTAAAATAATCCCTGCTTGGGAAATGGAAGAGCAGAAGGAGGCTATCAAACAGCGGGACTTCTTGGTCACTGGCTCAAATCCAGCCATGTGACTGACAAGAGGCTGATGTCAAGTGAGTGTTGGAAGGAGTTAGGGGAGGATTTCTATCCCGTCTTTCTGGAAGAAATCCCACTGGGGACCTCCCCTGCGGAGGCTGGGGAGTTGGTCGGGTCTGTGCAGTGAAGGTGCTGGCAAGACCAGCTCCAAATTGATGTACCAATATCCTGGTTCAAGCGAGGCTTCTGTGTGTCCTGGCTGTTGGCCTGTCCCCTTGCTCTGCTGCAGGGTGGAGACAGGGACCCGAGGACAGGCCAGAGAAATGCCTTTTTCCTTCTTTTCTTCAGAGAGAAACTACAAAAGCTCTGACAGCAGCTTGCAGGAATCATAGTGGAAGAGACAGATGTTGTCTCGGTTGTCAGAGCAGCCAAATTCTCCACTGTTTTTACAGCGAGAGTACAGCGTAGTTTTCTAAGGTATGTGTAGGCTCGCTGCATGTGAGTGACTCCTTTCCCTTTGCCTTCTCTAGCATTCGATGATTTACTTCTTCCATCACTATGAGCTGCCAGCCATTCTCCAGCAGATCAGGATCCAGGAGATGCTGTTGCAGAACCAGCAGGTGGGCCAGGGGACTCAGACGACGCTCCAAGACAACCTCAACAACAACACTACAGCTGCCCCCGTCGACGTGGGGGGCCGCCGTGCCCACCTGCCCGCCGGGCCCTCCGGGGAGAGCAGCAGCCCGGCTGCCCTGACCCCCAGCGAGGCCTCCAGCGTCATCGCCGCTGCCACAGCGGCTTCAGTCGGCAGCGATCTGAACTGGGTAGCTGAGACAGCCGCCATCGTTACGGAAGCCTCGTTTCTCTCCGACCTGAGCACTACCCTCCTGGAGCCGAACGTCGTGCACGAAGCCATGGCCAACGGGAGCCCTCAGGATGCTGCCGCTGCCTCCAGCTTGGTTGCCCGCATCAGGGTCAGCAGCGACCACCCGGAGACGGCCATGGGCTCCATCACCATTGAAGTCACTTCAACATCTGTGGTGGCTGCAGCAGATGTTCCCCCCGCCGCAGAGGCGGCAGCGGCTGCGCCCCTCGTCCCGCTGCAGGCGGAGGGGTCCTCCGTCCCCAGCCCTTCCCTTCCTGAGCAGACTGAGGCTGTCGAGGGCTCAGACAGCCGAGCAAAACCTAGTGGCAAGAACTGCGTTGCGAACAGCAGCGTGGCAGAGACCCCTCCAGCCGTTGTGGAGGACGCTGATCAGGACAGACGCTTGGGTCGTGCTCTTGGGGACCGGGGGGAAGGCGGCCCTTGCCCAGCACCAGCGGATAGTACACCGAGCTCCAAACCTTGCTCGGAGCCAGACTTGAGGAGCCTGTCTTGAGTCCCCGTTACTGTAATTCTGGACTGCCAGGAAGGCATCTGGATTTCGTTTGTTACTATTTCTCACTTCACCATCATCCTTAACCCATGAATTCCTCTTAGCGGAGGCAGAGCAGCTGGGACAGAGAAAAGGGGCTGCGGTGAATTCCCCTGGGAAAGGCGAATTCCCCTGGGAAAAGCACGTGTGCGCTTGTGTACGAGAGGCTGATGTGCATGGGAGCCCTGCAGTCAGCTCCATGCCACAGCTTTTCCTTGCCCCCGGCTGCCCCAGCTTTGCCCCCTCCAGTCGCGTTTGCAGTCCAGGTGCTGTTCACAAGTGTGAGCTGATTTGTGACAGACAAATCTGCGTATGTGTGTGTGTGGCAACTTTCTGGTTAGAATCGCAGCTGCACGTGAACAGGGAGAGCATTTTCAGACATCCTCAGGAGAGCCACAGAGAAACCTGGTAAACTTTCCTTCTCCTTTAGGGGAAGAGGAGCTTAAGACCTTCCCCAAACACTAGGGCAAAGCTGGGCAATAACCAAAGCAGAAGCTGCAGTTCAGCCCCATTTTTTCTGTCTTTGAACTTCCCTCGGTCAGTGGGTTTGGGGGTAGAAGCTGCGGTGTCCAGGGTAGAGCTTCCATCCCAGGAGAGGAGCGTTTGGCTGGGCACAGAGGCAGCAGGGTCAGCTCCAGAAGTGCTGTCCCTTCTGCTGCTGGTGACCTCTGCGAGGGCTTCGGGAATTCACCCTCTCTTAGATGTATGTGGCCAGCGTAAAGTGGGAGCTCCTGGCACAGGCAAAGGTTCTCGAGTAACATCTCGTGGGAGCTGATCTGTAGCGTCGGTGTCTGTAGCGACGTTTGGGGTGAGGAGGACGGCAGCTCTGCCTCTGTACAGCTCTGCTTTCGGCACCTGCCCCTGTGGGTGATGTAGTTTGCTTTTCAGTGCCTTGTCCCTCAAAGGGGACACGTTTGCATTTAAGATCAGCCCCATCCCAGAGGAGAGACCGGCTTTTCACTGGCTGAACTGTTGCATGAGATGGTTTAGCAAAGAACCAAAACACTAAAGCCAAGACATTTCCCCTGATTTTCCCCTCATTTCCCTGGCAGCGGCGGTGAAGCTGGCTGTGCCCGACCCCTCTGCGATGCCGCTGGCTGACCTGGTACCACGGGGCTGCGACGTGGACCGGATGCCCCCACACGAGGACATGGCTGGAAGGAGGGTTTGGGATTGTGGGTAGAGCGGAGCGACGCCGGAGCGCGTCCTGTCTGTGGGGCTGAGAGGAGAGAGGAGCTCGGGGAGAACCGCAGTGGAAGGGCAGCACTGGGAGGTGACAGGTGGGGCACTCTGCTCTTCGGGGGGGTGGAGGGGTCGCCGTAGAAGCGCCCCCGAGTACAGCCGCCTCTCCCCACAGCTGAGCAGCCTCTGTGGAGTCCGTCTCCCTCGGAGGGCTCTTGTGTGCGTTTCGGTGTCTTCTACCAGGAAAGGGTTTCCGTGTCGGACCGTGGGGGCTCCGAGCCCCCCGCTTCACTTTCTCTGCATTTCCCACCCAGGTGCCCCCGTCTGGTTTTTTTTTTTCCCTGTTCTTTTTGTCTCGAGGAGCCCTGGGTGTTGCTTGGGGAATGGGGGAGCCTGCTCGTGACCAGCATGGCGGCTCCTCCTGCA